CGCCCCGCGCCCCGCGCCCCGCGCCCCGCGCCCCGCGCCCCGCGCCCCGCGCCCCGCGCTCGCGTCTGGGCTCGGCGGCCCGGCGGGGGATGGGCGCGGGGGAGAGGCAGAGCGGGCGGAGGGGAGGGGCGCGGGGGAGAGGCAGAGCGGGCGGAGGGGAGGGGGCGCGGGGGAGAGGCAGCGCGGGCGCCCGGCCCGTCCTGGGGGGCGGGGATGAGGGGGGGTGTCCCGCGGCAACAACCCGCGCCCGCCCGAGCAGCCGGGGTTCAGTGGGTGTCCGCGCGCGGGACGCCCTGCTCCGCCCGCCGCACCCCGCCACCGTTTGCACTTTTTTTTTGCACCTTTTCCCCAAGAAGACCAGCTCCTTCCTGGTACCGACTCTGCGTAGATTCAGGCTCGCCCCGGTTTAGACTCCTGGCTCCCCTGAAGACAAGCTCTCGCCCCTTCTCCGGGCGGCTGCTCGGCGCCCTGCACTCTCTTTTACAGACCCCCGCCCTTCGGACCCCTGGGCGCCCTCGGCTGCAGCCCTGACCCCCCCATCCCCCCACTTGGGTCTCCTCCGAGCGCTTCCCGGGGTGAGATCCTGAGTCGGGGGTCCGGGACAGTCTGGGAATGTCGTGGCGGCCCCCGCCCGCCCTTCCCAGGCAGCTCCTGAATCCCACCGCCGTCTCCCAGGCTGCCAAAAACTCCAGGGCGTCCTTGCCAGGGGTAAAGAAGCGCCGCACTCTTTAAACGTTTCCCTTACCCCTGGCGAGGAGGAGTCGTTCACTGAATGTATCTAAACCTGTGTTTCTGTGTATTTGCAACGTCCTCTGGGGAGCAGGCTTCCATGTTCCGTTGCAGTCGTCGTATGAGGTAGGCAGGAGCCCCGGCCTTCAGAGCTGCCCCTGGTTCTTTCCAGCCCTCCCTGACCCCACCCCAGCTGCCCTCCGCTCCCTAAAAGCGTTTCTCCCCTAAACGGAGAGCCAGGGCGGGGGAACTGTCCCAGCCAAGGCCTCTGAAAGCTGCCCCCGCTCCTGCATTCACTCAACAAAAGCTTATTCAAGGCCTGTTGTACAGCCAGCCCGTCCCGGGAGGTCAGGCCCTACCTGACCGCCCTGCACCTAAATTTCACATATTCCCACCCTCCACCCCCAGTGAGGGGATGACAGGAATTACTCTCACCCTGATGGAGCATCCTGTAATCATCCCTGAGGAACTGGCTTCGTAACCTTGTCTATTCTGCAACTTGCTGGTTTAGCTTTCAGTTTCGTGGCCCACTGGTGAAGTTCTCCAGGAATTATGAAGCATCCAATTAACAAATGCTCAGCCCTCAGGAACACTTTGGGTACACCGCAGCTATTCCCTAATGCAACAGACACTTGGGATTTGGGGATCACTTGGCTGGTAACAGTAGTGCCTGTTCGAGTTCCTTCTGTGTGACCGTTTGTCCCACCTCCACCCTACCAGCCCCCCCCTCAGGGCACACCCCACCAGAAGAACCACGTGGGAATATTTCCCTAGGCTGGCTCTACGAAAACTTGGTCTCTTCTTTTAAAATATTGCAGTTGTGGAGTAAAGGAGGCATCCTAGGACGCTGCTTTAAAATCTTGGCTTGGGGCTTCCCTGGTGGCGCAGTGGTTGAGAGTCCGCCTGCTGATGCAGGGAACATGGGTTCGTGCCCCGGTCCGGGAAGATCCCACATGCCGTGGAGCAGCTGGGCCCGTGAGCCATGGTTGCTGGACCTGCGCATCCGGAGCCTGTGCTCCGCAATGGGAGAGGCCCGCGTACCGCAAAAAAAAAAAAAAAATCTTGGCTTGATGATGTAAAGCTGATTCCCTGTCCCAAGAATTTTATTGGGAGGGGGAAGGAATAGGAAGAAGAATAAGATACAAAAGTGTTAACACTTCTCCTTTAAAACCTAAGCGTGCCAACCACAGGGGAAAAGCAGAACATGAAAGCAAAATTAATATTAGGATTTGCAAGGTAAGTTCTACTTTCGTAAGTTTTAAAAATACATTATTAATAATACTTCTTTTGGCATTTTTATAAAGAAAAGTATACCAAAGAAAATGATAATCCCACAGTAAAGAGATCCTTTAAGCATTCAGCATATTTTAAATTGAAATATAGTTGACATACATGAGCATCGTTTTAAAACAGAAGATATCGTACTCTCTAGAGCCAAAACAAAACGCTTAGAATGCAGAACTTATGCCAGCTGCCACCCTCTAGTGCGGTTTGTACGCTGCACAAAGCCGCGGAGGGGTGGATGGGGCTGAAGTCCACCAGAGCCCACGCGACCAGGCCCTTTTCCTGGGTGCCCCATCTGACCAGAGGGGATGCCTTTTTAAATGACCTGTGCAAAGGGGGCTTTTTTGGGGATTCACAGGACAGTGCCTTACAGGCCAGCTGTACCCTTGGTACTAGATATTCCCCTAGAGCAGCAAACAACTAAACAAATAATTACATTAGCAATAAAACGTGAAGCTCTGGCTTAACAAGCAAGGTAAAACGAGTCTGGTCTCATCTCCCAGGAGCCCAGCATGCTGGTAGCACCAGCCGTAATTCCCAGGCAGCCTTGGCAGGGCCTGGCAGGGAGCCTGCGAGTCAGGATTAGGGGACAGGCAGAGCTGGGGGAGTGGCTTGGCTCAGTGCAGGCTTCACATGGAGTTGATCTGAATAGTCTTTGACTCCTTCAAAAAACTGTATGAAATCCAAGAACCACTTTTCCCCACTCCCTTACCCAGACTGTGAAAACTGAAGTCATAACACTAGAAATGGCTTGCGTGCAGTGACCCTGCCAATCATACTCTGGTCACACAGATATTCACAAGGTGGTTTTCCTTTGTCTTGAAGGAGATGGAGACGTGTCTCTTTATAACCACACGAGGCAAAAAGCCCTCTGAGCCAGTGATAGGGGCCCGGGGGTCCAGGGCCCTGTGCCCACACTCAGGCACCACCACAGCCAAGCAGAGGGAGTGTACTAACCAGGGTGCGTCTGCTTTAACTATGCACTTAGACTAAACTGTATTTGTTCACTTACTTCTTCCATCAGACCAGAGGCTACTTGAGGGTAAGGACTGCGTCTCCCAGCACCTAATCTGGTACCTGAATCAAAGGAGGTCCTTAAAGACCTGCTAAAGAAATGAGTGGAATATGTATCCTAGCTTTTCCTCTGAAAGATCAGAAAACTTCGAGCACCCTGGACTTTTTCTTGAGAAAGTGCTTTTAACACATAAATATTTCTCTCTGATTTCCTGAGGCTAAATGGAGCAATCCAGACACATCACAGGGTTAGGAATACGTTTGAACGTACGCTTTGGATTCTGAACTCATCTATTGGCAGTTGAACTTGTCACTGAGAACAGGATATGAATATTTTGTTTATAGGCCTTTCTTGGAAGAAAAGGTAAAATTCTATAGTTTCGGCTCTGATTATATTAGACAAATAGGTTTATTAGTGCTCAATTCTACTACATTTCTATGAGCTCATAAAAGTATTTTTCTTCCTGAAAGGACTTGGACAACAGCAAATATCCCTGTGTTTGTATAGTACTTGGTATCTTCCCAGACATTAGCTCATACAATTGGCCTAGCAACCTGGTAGGGTGGATTGAGTGAATGTTGTTATCTAATATTTCATAGAAAAGGGTAATGGCCTTTTTGTTTTTTACTGTCATCTGTTAGTGGGAGTGACAGGGTTAGAGGCTGACTCACCTGCTTCTAGGTGTGATATCCTAACGCGTGTTTCCATGTCGGAATTGCCCACCTTACAAGTGAGGGGTTAAAATGTTCTATGCATCTCACAATCATTTATTGACGTATCCTGCCTCAGGCCAAGAAAGTTTCAAATGTTTATCAGCTTTACCAGTCATTTGCATAATTACAGTTGGAATAGGATTCTAGCTCATGCCCAGCTTTGCCATGGTCTCTGTGGCCCTCTCCCAGCAGTGGCGACCACATTTGCACAAGGGTCAAAGTGCAGGAAAGGGGAGGCCACCTTTCGGAAGGGGGCGAGTTTCCGATCACCTGTGGGGTTGCGGGGTGAGGGAAGATAAGCCTGAAGAAAATGAGAGCCAGACAAACTTGCCTCCCCACTCAAGAACATCTCCCCTCAAACTCATCCCACACTTCAGCAAGTTCAGCTACTCCGTGGTTGGGGTTTTACTTTATCCAGATGCTTACCTTGCTTTCCTCCGAAGCGAGACCAGCCTGTTTTAAAGTGAGAGTTTTGTTTGGAAAGGGAGAAGTTACTTCGTTGTCTGGGGCCAGCCTCGGGGTGGGGATGGGAGATCTGGGTGTAGGTCTCACTGGGAGCCCTTTATAACCGGAAGCCCGGGTTCCAAGAGCCGAGGAGAGAAGAGCTTAGAACGGTTAGCAGAAAAGTGGGGCTTCTCCCGCAGTTTTGCCTAGACTCCCCAAATCATCTAGTTCATAAAGATCAATAACTGTTTCACCCTGATTCGGGAGAATTAAGAATAGGTGAAGGATGCGGGCACAGATGTAGTGTTAGGATTTCCTTTCCCGCATGGTTGCTAACAGCAGCAGCTGGAAGTTACCTCAGTGTGTGTCCTAGGGGTTGGGTTGATAAACGGTAGTCATCTACCGG